CCTTAGCACTGCAGAGAGAGGTGACAAAATCCACCTTAAGCACCTCCAACCCAGAGCAAATTTTGCCCCGAGGTGTTACAGAGAGTGAATACAGAGGCCAGTATTCAGCCCTTGAAGGCACATGTGTGGCTGCACTGTCATCGGTGCTTTGCATCTCCGCAGCTCACGGCTTTGGCAGTCCCTTTCCAGCCCCACTCCAACTGGAGCTATAGGCTTTCTCTCAACCCTAACCCTAACCCTAAGAGAGTCCAATGTGTCCTGAAGTCATGGGGTTGGACATAGGGATGTCCGGGAGTGTAGAATGTGTCCCTTTCTGTTCCCTTGATACTCAGCAATGTCCTCTGTCTACAAAGGTATGCATTCAAGACACTGAAGCACTGTTTGACTGGAGGGGAACCACTCAACCCAGAAGTGCTGGCACAGTGGAAAAGCCAAACAGGACTGACTATCTATGAAGGCTATGGCCAAACTGAAATTGTACGTTCAGCTTTTTTGTAAAGGGTTACAACTCAGCTATCACTTTAGGGGACTAAAATATCTCATTCCTCTTGGTAAATCTGGAACTTGGCCATATATATTTGACTAAAAAGAATGATGGCATTAGAATACGTCACAATTGCCTACAAGAGGTTTTATTGTTTTGCTTAGAATTATGGCTTGGTTATGATACTGCTTCTAAGACTACTTAAGCTGTAAAATACCTTGGAACTTTTTGTCCAAGACTGCCAGTGAAGTTCACAAATGTTTTGGCTCATACAGATGAAAGACTTAGATCTTATGCTAGCTCAACACTAGGCATAGTACAAGAACAGAACTGGTCTCAGGAATGACAGTGAAAAATACCTGGGCTGGTTGTTTGTCTTTTCCAACAGGGAATGATATGTGCAAATATGAAAGGAATGAAAATTAAGCCAGGTTCCATGGGAAAGGCAGCTCCCCCCTACGATGTTCAGGTATGTTGGTGCCCTTTTCTGTTTGTTGATTTCATAGGAAGTAAAATACAAGAGAGTACAACATGCTGTACAGGTTTTGGTACTATACAGTGGTATTTCGGTACTATACAGGGGATGCTGACTTTTTTAGTTGAGCTGTTGGCTGCTGGTTAGTTTTAGAACATGGTTTTCTTAAAGTGGGAAGTTATAATCACCCATTTGCTTTTCCTATTGCAGATTATAGATGAAAATGGCAGTGTTCTGCCTCCTGGGAAAGAAGGAGATATTGCTATCAAAATGGATGCCAAGCGGCCATTTACTTTTTTCACTCAATACCTGGTAAGCCAAAATTGAATTTCAGGAGAGCCAGTTCAGGCCTGCGGCATGGTATGTATTTATAGTAACAGGAGCAGGTGCAACACCAAAGAGCTGTGGCTCTTCTTGACTTGACAGTGTTCTGACTTACGAAACTTCCATTCTCTCCCCCATTCTTCTGCAGACCTATTGTGTGGTCTTCAGTTCTGTATCTGCCCTTGTGATCAGTTTTCCCCTTTGGAAAAAGCAAGCACAAGCTCTTAAATTCTTGAAACAGAAAACAAGCAATGAAAGATACTATGGGTGGTGTCCAAAGAGGCAAAACTCATCTCTTAGCTTAAGGCTTCTCGGTAATTAGAACATTTAATTGTTGCTTGTTCAACAGGATGATCCAGTGAAAACTGCTTCCACAATCCGTGGGAACTTCTATCTCACTGGTGACAGAGGGAGCATGGATGAGGATGGATACATATGGTTTATGGGGAGATCTGATGATGTCATCATCTCCTCTGGGTTTGTAGATTTCGGTTAAAATGCCAAGAAATGTCTAATAAATAACCATATAACTTTCACCTACTAAGCATTTAGTGTCTCTCTCCTAGGTATCGTATCGGACCATTTGAAATAGAGAATGCCCTGATACAGCACCCAGCTGTCATTGAGTCGGCTGTTGTCAGTAGCCCAGATCCCATCAGAGGAGAGGTAATTAGTGGTCACTCTCCTATTCATAAAGTGCCCTGTGTGGCAGAGCTTACACTCAACTTCCATCAAATTCATCAGACTCTTAATATAGCTATACAAACTTTTCCATCACTTTACCCAAAGTGAGGGGAGCAGTAGTTTGTGTATCCCATATTCCTTTTTTTTTTTATTTAAATGAAAATATAATTCTTACTTTCCTAAAGAACATGACACTGAATATAAAGGTGACTCTGGTAAGAACTGATGTACACTGACCCACTGTCTGGAAAATTACAGAAAAGGCCCCAGCATCTAAGAACGTTAGAACAGTTCTTTACAGAACTACAAATTTGGAAGCAGTTTGAAACTTTTGTCATGTATTACTTCTGACCTTTACTAATGTAAAGTAGAAACAGTCTTTCATCCCAATTTTATATTTGCTTACACAAAAGCAAATTTTGCTCTACAGCACAGGTGTGATAAAGCAAGCCTGTAGTGCAGGCAATACTCACTTAATTAATTGCCTCATTTGTTAGGTTGCTGTAGTGTAATTAATGTTGTATTTTTTGTTTATTTTCCTTTTGTAGGTGGTAAAAGCTTTTGTGGTCTTGTCTCCTTCCTTTAAGTCACAAGATCCAAAGAAACTGGCCTGTGAATTGCAAGATCATGTCAAGAAAGTCACTGCTCCATACAAGTACCCCAGAAAGGCAAGTAAACGTGACTGTATTAAAAAAAAATAAAATCCCCAACACCTGTTTTAACTGTGGAGAGGCTAGAAACAGAAAGATTAGACTCACTTCAAACTCAGTAACAAAAAAAGCCCAAATATGTATTGTGCAAGAAATATGACAAATACTATTTTAAAGATGATTTTGGAAAATAATAGATACAACACAATCTAAAACCAAATTGGAGTTACTTCCCCAGTCACCAAATTCTTATTTAAATTAAGTAGGATGGAGACCTATGCTATTCTGAAAAAAAAAAAAAAAAAATATAAATTAAATCTACTCATTTTACTTTTTTCCTCTTTTGAATCAGATTGAATTTGTCCAGCAGCTGCCAAAGACAATCACTGGGAAAATCAGACGGAATGAGCTGAGGAACAACGAGTGGGGGCAGCTTTAGTTTTGATAAGCAGTCTAAAAAAGCCTATCCCTATCAATTTCATTCATAATTGAGCTTTTCTATTACAACTGTAAGCACCAACATAGGATTATATTTCACCCATTAGGCAGCGATTGTGTAACAATGCACAAGGTTTAAAAACTCCAACTGTTTTTAAATGCTTGGGTTCTTGCTTAACAAATATCAAGCCTACTTAGCAAGGCACAGGCAAACACATCTTCCAGCCACCTAATGCTTTTCAGAATTATGGTACAAGTAGAAGTGAGTGATTACCAGGTGAAGGAGCAGTGTGTTCATTCTTTGAGACCAGATATTTTAACCCACAAGAGGCTTAGTAATGAGGAAATGATGATTGTATGTAATGAAATTCCCAGAAACGGCCATAGATCTTGCATGCATCCAAATTAAGCACCCTGCTTGTTTGAATCTTGAAAGCCCCAAGATTGAGGAATTAATGTGTTGACAGTGAATGTTCACTAAGTGCAAATTATGAAAAATCAGAAGTAAAAGAATGCAGACATCTTCTTAAGACTGCAGCATAGGCAGCATCAAAATGTCAGACTTAGGCTTCACAAATGGATGGTAGCGATTCAGCAGTTTCTTCTGAAGAGCTGTAGATACATAGATGAGTGAGAGGTAGAAGAAAAAAAAAAAGCCACAAACTATCCATGAGTCTGTCTTTGTCCTTAGTAAGGTAAGTAGGCAGTCTTGAATGGTGATCACTGACATCAGCCACCAATAAACATTCATTGTTGGCCTTTGTGTCTTGTCTCCAATGGTTCTTTCCTGCATGTGACTTAGATATTACTGGTTTTAATCCACACAGAAAAAACTTTAAAATTTAAAGAAAACACCGATGGAGGTAAGAAAGCAGAGTTTTAATAAATGGGTGGTAAGGGAGGCAGGACTGGACAAAAAAGTTGTCTTAATTTTCCAATTTCTATAACAATTTTGAGAAAAGAGGAAAATATAAATTAAACACTGCTGAGAGAGACTTGAACACATCCTTTGCATTAAACCAAGACAAATAACAAGTGGTGTTCTTCAAGATCAGTCTTTTCCCATTAGCAACCCACAGGCTTTTATGCTAGAAATGAAATATTAAAGCTAGACAGGTGCACAGGAAGCATACTTAAAACCCTACTGGAAAGCAGGTTATAGCTGCACTGGTTTTGGTTGTTTTTTAAAAATCACTGGGATATCAAAACAGTTTCTGTAACAAACAGGCAACAGAAAGACTCACTAACATTACTTTCAATCTGAAACAAAATTAATACTGTAAAGCTAAAACTACCAAAAATTGAACTTAATCCCCCTTATCCAGTATGGTATAATGGAGAGCTTCTTTCGTAAGAAGTTTCCAAGCAGTACTTAAATTCAAATTTTGAGACCTCAGAAAAAACAAAAAAAAAAGATTTTATAAAAAAACCCAAGGATTAAGTCTTTGGAAAGAGCAGCAAAAGGCTATTTGCAGGAAATTATTTAAAAGGATTCTGTTCAGTGACTACAGTATTTCCTATAAACCAGTAACTGCTGTATACACAGCTAATGTAAACAAACATGTAGTTTTTGCTAAAACCATCTGCAATGCCTGCACTGTACTGCTGTTCTAGAACAGTCAAATCTATTACTCTAGCTCGTCTTACAGTATTCAAGTATTTTGATCATACCAGTTCTTTCCATTCACTTTCAAGACTTCACATATCCCTGTAAAGCGACGCGTATATAAATTTACATAAAACCCTCCATCATACAGGAAATGATCAGTTTTAGCTCATTCTGCTCTTCACATAGAAAAAAATATCCGAGTTCTGCAGTCACACAAGTTGTCAGATCACTTCCTTAAAAACCCTCTGCAAGCAACTGTCTTTTTTCAGATCTCTCACTTCTGTCAATTCTTCCCGTTAGAGCTGATTCTGCACTGCCTTTGATTTCTGTAGCCATCAGATATAACAAAGGAGTGTCAATATATGTCAGGATGGCCACATTTACGTATGTGTGTCCACACTCCTGTTTTTTGGCTAGGTAAAGGCAATGCAGAACAAAGCTGTAGAAGAATGACAGCAAGGTTCACCAGAAAGGTGACACACTCTTGAGTGCTCTTACATCTGCTGTAATGTCAGCTCCACCTGCAACGAGTATTAAAATTCTTACACATGTGGATTTTAAAACCGAGATTTCAAAACAAAACCCACTCTCCTCTTTAAAATGCCCTTTCAGAACTCTAGGGCACCTTTTTTTAATAGGTTTCAATTGTGTTTATCTTTCCCTTCTACCACATTTTCTACACTGTCAGTGCATCATTCCCTTTGGGCTCAGCTTCTATTTCACCTTGATTCTTGTTTTCTTGTTTTACTTCTTCTGAGCTGTTCTCCTCCTCCTTGGTTTCTGGTTTTACTGCCTTCGAATTCTGCTCTTCTGTCAGACTTGATGGGTTTTGTTGTGTGTCTTCTTTGTTGCTCTTCACTACCTCCTGTAGATTGTATTTTCTGAACAGCACATAGTCTCTCACCACACTCAAGCAACAGACGTTTTTTATTATTTCCACCACAATTGTATATTGTGGGTTATTAAGATCAACTTTGTTTTCTGGATTGAGGCTTCCCACAATTCCTGTAAAACAAGATGTAGTTTAAAAGATGCTGGAAAAACTGTTTTGGAGCATAAGCATGCCCTATTGAAAGAATAAAAGTTACAAGAGAGAAGGCAACATCCCTCTTAGTTGTAATCAATTACTCATTATTTTAGTGGCTTGAAATAGCAGAACAGGGCAGGATTCTTAGAATATACCACCAGTAAGACTGAAGTAACTGAAAAACTATCCCACTACAATTACCAAGAAACAAAATACGCGAGTAAGGTGGAGCTATTTTATGAGTCATATATTCAGTGGAAATAGTAACATGTTATTTCAATATAGCATGCACAGAGAAAGACTGATAGCAGTCATTTCAAAGCACGTGTAACTGAACCCCCATATCCTACTCCACGCTGTACTCTTCTGCTTGTTGTTTCTTAAGACATCAACACCAACAAGGAATACTGATGCCAAGCTTTTTTAAGTCTTGGAGAAGCTTTTGTAATTCAACATACAGATTTTAAGCAACAAATACATAAGCCCATTAAGACCACTTTTAATAATCTGACCTAGGTTATGTATGCAGCTGTGGGCTGCTTATATACTTGTTCTTAGTTTTGTGTGACATCCATACATACCTGCTAATTCCTTAATTACTTCTTCCCTACTCATATGACTGTTATTACGAGCTTTGTAAACTATCTGAAAAGTACCCTTATTAGGGGCTTTGAACCAAGGTTCAAAAAACGTTTCCGTGTATTTTTTCATATCCTCCATAAAAGCCTTGCAAGTTCCAGAAATCGGTAGCATGCGCAGAATGACTCTTGTTTTCTTCTTTTTAGTGGCATGCATATCCTTTAATATATGGTGCACCAGGTTCTCAGGTTCTACAAGAAAAACAACTAGGTATGAGAAACAAATGGAAGGCATTTTCTGCCTTCTTCCCCCCTCTAACTATTAAGATGGGGAAATGCAGGTTTGACTGCACTGCTGTCAGCCTCAAATCTTTTTCTGTAGAGTTCTTTTACTATACCAAAACTTGGATAGTTAAAGACTATTCGGTCAAAGCAGATTCCTCTACCTTTGGCGACTCCAGTAAGGACAAAATTCAGTGGCAAAGGGAAAGGGAAGCCCTGTATTAGCTTGGTATACAAGAGTTTCTTGGAAGTCACGCTCTGGGGCCTGTTACTAACACCGTTCAGAGCAGTTTATCCCCACAGCATTACGCAGAGTCAGTTGATGTCCCACCTATGCCCCGGGTTCTGATGAAGACCACGTTGTTGGCACCACTCTCCACTGACTGGAACCGCCGCAGCTTCTGCTCCGTCGAGGCGCGGATCTGGCCGACCTCCTTCTTCAGGGCTGCCTCCACATCGTCCTCATCCTCCTCCCTCTCGCTTCCAGACAGCCGCTCCTCCTGCTCTGCAAACTTCACACAAGGCACGTCTCTCATTTGGTGAGTACCGAGCAACGCTGCCCACAACTCAAAACCCAGCAGCAAGGCACCACCGCACCCAGGGGCCTGGAGGTGATGGGCAAGGGCCTTTTCTCCAGCCTGCCCGCGGGGCTGCGCTGGTGTTTGCTTACAGAAACCGGCATTTTCGCGTGTGGTGAACACAAACAGGTTTGGTTTACATACAGAAAGGCAGAGGCGGCCTCACGGCGCTGCTCTCCCCGCCCTGCCGGCGTTAGCGCCGCCAGGCTGCGGGAGGCAGAAGCCGAGAGCTGCGAGCCGACTCCGCGCAGGACCGCGCTCCCCGGCCTCAGGGCCGCCTCCCGCCCGGCACCGAGCGACCGGCCGGGCCGCCCCCACGCACCTGCTCGGGCCCGTAGAGCAGGTCCCCGTACTCGCCGAGGAGGCTGTAGGCCTCCCCCACGCACTTGCGCTCGTTCATGTTGCAGGTGATGAGGATGCCGCGCATGCCGGCCTCCAGCTGCCGCCCGCCGCCGCGGGGCCGCTTGGCCCGCCCCGCCGCCGCCGCGCGCCGCGATGGCGTCAGCCCGGCGCCCGGCCTTAGCGCGCGTGCCCGCCCGCCGGCAGAGAGCGCCCCCCCGCGGCCTGGCGGCCGCCCCCGCGCAGCTCTGCCGGCGAGCGCTGAGGGAGGCGACGGGCGCGGCGCACCCGCACCTCCCGCCGGGCCCGGGGCGGCGGGGCGCAGGGCCCGGGGCTGCCCTGCTGCTCCCAGGAAGCCGGGCCCCGGCACCAGGGGGGATCCCCGGGGAGGCCCTCAGCCGGCTTCCAGGCTCCTCTCCCGGCCGGTGTTGCTGCGGGCAGCGCAGGGCGCCTGGAGGGAAAAAAAAAAAAAGGCAAATAACCCCTCACCCTTGAAAATTAGCATTCACCTCAGACTTGACAGGCGCCAGGGGGGAGGTTGAGCATTTCGCCAGGCACAGTACCCCGGGCTCAGAGCGCTCGGCTGTGGCTAAACTCAGTCACTCATAGCCCTTGGTGCTTTCGCTTGTCCGAACTGCAGTGCCAGGATTAAAGTCTGGGTTTGTGTTAATGATTCCAGCACTGAGAGAAACGGTGGGCCGGGGAGGGGAGAGGAGAGGAGGGACGCTGGCTGGAGCGCGGGGGAGCAAGCAGACGGCAGTCCTCCTCCGCAGCGGTGCGTCCAGCGCCGGCCCGTACCCCCGGCACAGGGACAGCCCGGCCTCGGCCGCTTCCCCGGCGTCCGGTCCAGCTACTGGAGGTGACATGGTGTAGAGGGACCAGCTGAAACAGAAACTCTTTATACAGGTAAATTTAGGCCTGAGATAGTAGAGAACGTGTGTTGGCAGAAAAAACGTGGTCCGTAGCATAGTTTCTAAAGGAAGGTGTCTGTACGCATCCCTGTCCTTAAGAGCCTCATCTCCCTGCAGGAACTCTTGCGCTTCTTGGACAATCAAGGGGGGACAAAATCAAGTTCCTCGACATTTTGTGAAAACAAGTAGAGGAGACAGCTAAGGAGGCCTCACTATCCAGTATATATGAATATCCATATGATAATATGATACCCTACAGGACTATTGTATTATTTACATTCAGAGAATCCAGTTGGGCTAAAGCAGGAAGAAAGGAAACTACATGAATTAATGAAGTATTTATCAGTTACAACTGCAAAGGAGGTGGCGTTTACATCTTAGCTGAAACTCTATTACTGCCAAGCCTTTGAGGCTCATACAAGTCGACAGCAATTGTTAGACATCAGTGGAATTATTGACCACACAAATTAAAAGTCACTAAATCTTTGCAGGGCTGGGGTTGTGTGAAAGACTCAAAAGTTCTGGTGAATTACAGTGATAGTCTCTGGAGCTGGGCATGTAAGGACATGTTTGGAACATGAGGAAGAATTTCTACAGGCAGCTGTGAGTGGTGCAGAGTTAAAACAGTTAACCACTCAGAACACAGCTAGGATACTTCTGTGGTGAAAAGTGCTGGGGGACTTGGAAATACCCATCAGTGCTCTGGAAATTAGTTTTATGCCCTACCAAAAGAACAGGTTACAGGTTAGGTCTGGAAGTCAAGGTTTTCTTCCTAAACTGGAAACCTTCTTGCCTACATAGTCCTGGTACATTCGCTGACTCTTACCATAAGCCATTGCTGTAATTTTCTCTTAACGTTCATGATGTGATCTTCTGGGTAGGGAATCCCTTTAAGGCCTTTCCTCTGGGAGGATTGCGTCGCATGCATTTCAGAGAGCTGTTTAAAATGTCAGTACTGCAGACTGATTGTAGGTCTCTCTTTACGCTAAACAGAGGGCAGCTTTGTTGTTTGCGGGATTCTGTTTTGAGTCAGTTTCTTTCTGCTGCAGTGAACATTTCAGGGAGCTTGTTGACATCTCCTTTGAGTGTGCTGTTTACAAACAGACCTGGGCAGAACCCCAGGTAGGAGTTCTGGCAAAAGTGCAGGACCCATGTGCCAGGAAAGACCACAGCATCACCCTCACTGATCAGCACCCAGAGGACTGTTCTGCCCCAAAGACATAGATGGGCGTCAGCAATCTCTCTGCTGACCTGAGAGCCTCAGTTTGAGGCTGGTGATACAGCAGGAGCAATTTAGGGCTCTGGCAGACAAACTTATGAATCTTGATGCCCCAATTTAAGCTATGGCTGTCACTAGCTCCCTAGTGAGTGGCATCCTCACAAGGGAGGCTAAGTTAGAGGCATGCACCAATGCCACAGCTGTGCCCACAGCGATGTTTGGCTGTGGTCTGGATGGCAGAGGGGATGGCATACGTTCCCTCCTGCCTCTCCTGTAGGAGCGGAGCAGAGGAGGCAGCAGTGCTGGAGCACTACATAGCTGTGTGTTCTCTGAACATGAGGCAGAGCCCTTACAGAACCTCACAAGTCACCAGGTATTAACAAAGCTGGTCCAGGCACCAGCTGCAGCATCCCAGAAATCGATGCTCACTGTTGTCATGGCTCAACTGCTGTTGTTACCTGAGGAGCCCCAAGCTACCCGCTGAGTGGTGTAGTCGCAAAGCCAATCGCAAGGCTGTTGCTCCTGTGTGGCCCCAGCCAGAGCGTAACAGAGGTAATTTGTCCATAGCAAGGCCTGACAACTGTGTTCTTCTGTGGGTTGGTGGGTGGGAATAGGGGAGGAGAAGGAAATGGAAGAGATTTGGGACTCACACTTTCTACTTCCACTGAGCTCTGTAGAAACCTATCAGCAATTCTAACCGTGCTGGACTTGGCTGACCCTTGCGTGAGTCCAAAGTACATGTAAGGAACACAGGAGTCGGCCACTGGACACAGTAACGGTGCAAGAGCGGGCACGCAGCCAGAGTCTGAGATCTGTGTAAGGAGTCAAAGCTGTGACACATCCCAGCACTGAGAGGGCTCCACTTCAGTGCAAGGCAGAGAGGCAGTAAGTTGGGATTGACAGCCTTTTGACAAGGTAACTGACCCTCCGCCTGCCCTTGCAAGCTGTTGGTCAGGACATTTTTCAGCACTGGATCAGTACTGATTTGTCTCTTGTCTGTCCACATTCCCTCTTCTCCCTGTCCCTCTATCTTTCATTTGGCTGTGTTTCTCTCCTGTGTTTGTCGTACTCAGACTGAATGTTACAGATCCAAAAAACATCTCTTTGCTGCACTGAATAACTAAAGTCACATGATTTTACAGCCGGATAGTTATTAATTCCATAAGGAACTAGCAGTGTTTATGTTGTTTTGTAAATAAAAGACAGTTGATAGTGCATGAAAATAATTACTTCGGAGTTGTCAGACCTCCTATAAGTTGACTCTTTTTGACAAGTAAGGCTTTGCATTTTGGATCCTTTTGCAGGGAATCTTTTACCCTGTCTCATAAAGTGACTCCTTTTGCTGACCACACACCAAAATAACGCTTAAAGCATCAATATGTAGTATCTTCTCAGGGCTTAGCTACATTCATTTCATTCCTGGCAAACAATATATCCCCAGTGCTTGTACACTAGTAACTTTGTACCAAGTGACACTGTGGTCAGCCAGTAATTAACGCGTGATTGCTGGATTATCAGTGCAACATCTTGGTCCGTGCTGTTACTTCTGTATTGTCAGTCTGTAGCAGACATTTCATTTACAGAAGTCAGAGTTGACGTGCTTGGGTAGTGTTCAGCGCCTCTCTGCTGTATAAGGCAACTGAAATGTGATCTACAGGATTAGTGGGGCTTACGGGATGAAAAGGAACGTGAATTATAGGAAACTGCCCCAGTGACAGAGCTGAGTGCTGCTGGTTGAATGCAGGATCAGGATCTCAGCTGTATGATTGTCACTGGAGAGCAGGGGCTGAACTGGAGCTGTCCTCAGTAGTTACTGCAATTTATAGTTGGGATTGTTGTTTCAGTGTATTCCACTGTGTAAGTAAAAGCTGTTCTGAAACCACATAGCTAATACCAGGTTTGTATCTGTATCACTGTAGCATTTCTAGGAGAGCTAATAATCAGTAAGGAATAACCTTGAAGAGACTATTATGGCTCTTGCTGCTGTGCATTTTTTACCGAAGATCACAAGTGCTATGTCCCTGAGGGCTCCTCTGAGAAGATCTCTCCAACTTTGCAGCCGGTGCTACCCAGTTCACGCCTCTTTGAGCTATGAAGCCATAAAACAACAGTACAGACCAGAGGTGCCAGAGTACTTCAACTTTGCAAGAGATGTGTTGGATAGATGGACTGAAGTGGAAAAGGTAACAGTTACTTGGCTTCTCTGATGCCAAAGTATTTAATGCTGGTCATTAATGCTGAGTATCTGACAAATCCAGTGACTAAGACACTGGGGTTATGTTCTGATTATAATCTGGTGATCATCTCATGCGGGTTGAACATATAGATCCATCAAGCCACACGCTGTCCTGTCCACAAGTCCAAATTATTCTTTCCTTTAATCAGTAACTCTGGTGAGGTTAAGTGTGAGTAAATAGGTGCCTCATAAGTGAGATTTTTAACTGAACCACTCTAAACCTTGTATCAATTACCCTCTCAGCCGTGACATGCACCCTACTTGGATGTGCTGGGGAAATCACTTGACCTCTGTGTGTTCAATTGCCTGCCTATAAAATTAATCGTAAATACAGTGTAATGTCAAACCTCACCCGCCTATCCCAAATGTGAAATCTTTTGCATCCGGGGACTTGAAATCTACAAAACTGAGCAACTTTGAACCCCAAACCAGACGTGAGCTTTATGCAAGGAACGGGAATATAGAAAAAACCCGTGGAGTAGAGGTCTATCACTTTACTCACTACGCGGGTCTCATCTCTATGGATGTAGGACTGGTTTTGCAGGCTCAGGCTGGTCATAATGAGGGGCTAAATGCAGTTATGTCCAGTTTGGCAGCAAGAACAGAGCAGAGGTATCACCTGTCTGACGCAATTGTTCCTTTTGCAGGAAAAACAGGTTTTGGCAGGCTGTAAATGGAGCAAGGCACAGCCTCTGGAGAAGAGGTTTTGCCCTCTGAAGTGCACAGATAAAATCTACTCCCCTGAAAGGGAACCTTACTGTTATTGTATTTTCAGATAGATAATAAGGTGTCATATTCTTGCTGCTCCAGTGAATTTTTTGCTTGGGAAGTGACTTACTGTACTGCTAGTGCTAAATGCATTGGCCCCTTTCAAAACACATTGTATACATACATTTTAAAGCACTTCACACATCGGTTAGGTGTGACATTGATTAAAGGTCACACTGCCTGGGCCTATGCTTTTGAAACTTTGATTTAATTTTCAGAAGTATCAGACAGGCCCAATTCCAGATGAAGTTGAAAATTAGGTGTGACAGCTCAGGAGACTCTGGGGCACAACCCAGAGGTACCCACATTCATCAGCTGCTTTGTCAGTGTGACCTGAACCAGAAAGATTCTTCATTCTCTGTGCTGATTGCTGTAAACCTCTTCAGAGTGTAAGATGAAGAACTTGGGAAAGGAATATGAATTTAATTTCCTAAATTACATTTATAGGCTGTTCTTTCTAAGGGAGAGTTCTCTGTCTCTTGGAATCGGTGGCAAATTTCTGTTGCATCCCCAGGTTTCTCCAGCACTGAACAAGTGATGAATGCTTTTCTTCCTCAGACTTAAGATAAAGGCAATGTGTTTCTAAAATGAAGCATTTTTACTGTACCCTGTTGTTCTATAGGAGGGAAAAACGTCTAAAAACCCCGCATTATGGTGGGTAGATGGTGCCGGAGAAGAGGTGAGGTGGAGCTTTGAGGAGCTGGGAGTGCTGTCCAGGAAAGTCGCAAATGT